CATAGAGATGGCGCGACTCAAAGACTTGACCAGTCAGACTAACGGTCACGCCATCTCAACATCGTTCTTTGCTAGGCACGGGGGTTCCGGAGACTTGCTTATGAGTGATAATGGTGGCCAGTACACTGCAGATGAGTTTGCTAGATTCGCACGCGACTACGGGTTCCAGCATGTTACATGAGTCCTCACCATTCTTCAGGAAATGGGGAGGTAGAGAGAGCGGTAAAAACGCTCAAGGTCTGCTCAGTTCCGCTGCAGATCCCTACGCGGCGTTGCTGTGCTATCGTAGCACACCTCTAGCTTGCGGGTTTAGCCCAGCTGAACTCTTGTACAATCGTCGTATCAGGACCAAAATTCCTATGGTTCCTGAGAAGCTGGCTACCAGCTGTTCCTGATCCCGTTGTTCTCCATGGAAAGGAAGAGCATATCCGCGGATGCAGTCGAAAATCAACTTCGACAGGTCTCATTCGTGCTAGAGATCTCCGCTTCGTTGGAAGAAGGCCAAGAAGTCTACCTGCCAGGTCGTCAGGAGACGGGACGTCGTCGACAACAAGGTGCATGATCGGGTCTTACGTGGTGAACACGACCTACAGGACTATTCAGGAAGAAATCGAGTCCAGATTAATAAGCGGTACCAGAGACAGACTCCCCGACTCTCCGCCTCAAGGTTGGAATCGCCTCCAGCATGGGAGAGGAAACCTGCTAGTGGTGGCTCTAGTGTCGCAAGGGAGCCTCCCACATATGTTACAAGGTCTGGCCGTGTATCAAAGCCAACCCAAGCATATGCAGACACCTAAACTTTTGCGTTTTGGGTCTGCATTGGCAAGCTTAGTAATGAGTGTAGGCGGATCGCTGCTCATTGCTTGCAGAGTCACAACTGGTGACTCTAGTGTTATATAGATTCAAGGCAGGACAGGTTACTAGCCTTTCTATTCAGAGTTCATGGCAGTTATATTTTGCCAGTGTTTACATTAGTCCTCGGGTTTTTGGACTTATTATTCTACTCTTAGCCTCACTTAGTACAGACGTTGCTAAGAAGCTGAACTAACACCAGTTAGATGAGGCTTGTTGTTTCAACAGATTCAATTCATTATGATGCTCAAAAATGAGTGAGACCACATTTAGTTGAAAAGTTAACAGTTGGTTTATTCGAAGTATATATGTGATTCAATAGACAGATTTCAATTACAGTCTCCCATTCCATCTCAAAGACTCAGTGGACTGTCTATCAATCTTAAAGAAAGGGAGATGTGATGTTTGGTACACTACTGTGCAGTGTCGCCCTCTATGAACTATTAACATATGAACGCATGAAAAGGGCGCGCAAATCATCATGGCTGAATAAAGGATCGTTTGTCAACAAGTCAGTGTCTTTGTTGTCACTCCACTCGTTTATCTTGACAGAAGTTATCTATCACCTATTAGGCAACTTCGATAGGAAGGTATTGGAGGAAAAGAAATAGAAAGTGATAGAGCGATGAGAAAGAAAGGGAGGTAGCTAAGCTAGAGCGACAGAGCAAAGAGAGATTGACAATATAATCAGGAGTGCAGTGGCGTAGCCAGCAATTTGAAACAGGGGGGGGGGCCAAGGCGGAGGGAGCGAAGCGACCGAGGGGGTAGTCGGTGTGGGAGGGGTATCCCCCTCCCACGGTAGGGAGATTTTTGAAAATTCGTGCAGAAAATGGCATTTTCTGCACACTAAAATTCAGTATTAGGGGTAACTTATATGAGAATTGGCATATGTAATCCCTTATAACCCCCTTCCTCGCCTTTTTTATTTTTTCACTCCGATCCGATCAACGTGGACGATGGCCCCTGGCTGTGGTGCCCGAAGGCTCTGAGGTTACACACGACCAGTTGGTGGACCCTTAGCTAGACCAGTGAAAATGGTGTACGAAGCCAGTGTTTTTCAGGGAGGGAAGAAAAGAGTTAAGCGACCAAAGACAGTGTATTGAAGCTATTTCTCAACGCGGGGAGGGTGTTTCCCCTCCCACGGTAGGGTAATTTTTCAAATATGTGCATCAAAATGGTATTTTTGCCGCAATTTCATTATTTATTATTAGGTGTAGGTAATAGTGGTATAGACCAATCCCATTCAGGCCCTTCTCTCTTAATTTTTTGTACTCTCCGATCAAGAGGGAGTCATGGCCTCCTTGTGCCCCCCGCCCCCTTAGCTACGCCTATGTCCTCATTCAAGCAGCTGACGGAATATTGGAATTAGTTTGATTTGTGTTGTTAGCAGTACCATGCCAATGTTGCATTTATCCGTCATAAAACTGTTTCAAGTTCCTTCATATAAAGTTAAAAAGTTAAATTATTTTTTGAAAAAGTAGAGGCATATTGAATGAAATCGAAATAAAGATCTACGGGAAAAACAGGTAGCATGTGTTGGAACTGCACTGAATAAACATGCAATTTTATTTAATTACAAAAGATTTACATCGTTTAAGAATACAAAGCGTTAAAGATCACATTTAACATTTTGTTCGTTATAAAAAATGTTTTTCGCTTTCCCGATGAAGAACTAAAAATCATATTGAAATTTGATTTCAAATAAAAACAAAGGGGGCTGCCAAAATAGCCGCTTATTAAAATAAAAAAAATTTACCATAAAAGAATTGTTTTTGCCTTCCTCCTCCTCTGATAGAGAACAGTTACTTAAAATAGTGTTGAAATCGGATTTGAAATAAAAACCGAGGTGGATGCCAAAATGGCCGTCTATATGTTCGAATATATCAAAGTTATTCACAAAGCATTTCCATTTCTTTTCTTCTGTCAATAAGAGTTCAGAACCATAAAATTCAATCAAAGCCAACTTGCAACAACACAAATCTGAGCAAAGAAGAATTATCTCCTTTCTTTTAGTCATGTTTTTGTCTGCTGCAGAAATCTCAAATTCCAAAGTCAAGTCTTCTTGTCGATTTTGCACAGAACATTTTGAAGATTTCGTTGACATTAATGTCATTCACTAACTACTGTTCAACGAAAAGGAGAATGAGAGCAGAGAATCGTGGCTGGGTCATTGTAGAACGAAGTTTAGACTTGACAATGCTCATTTTAGAGAATGTTCGTTCAGCAGATGCAGAAGTAACAGGAATTGTGGCCAGTCCTGTGAAGACACGTGAGAGTGTGAAACACGTTTTTTTTTTGCTTGCCAATCAACAGGGGGGGGCATGGCCCCCTTGTGCCCCCCCTTAGCTACGCCAGTGCAGGAGTGAATAATAATAGATCATCTATTATTATTCACTCGTGATATAATGCAGCGATTATGGGCGCATCGACACTCATATGCCGCATGCATGCCATAATGATAATACGTCTGCTCAAGCCCTATGCGGAGGTACAGAGAATCCCCCCTCTCTCTCTCTCTCGCTCGATCTCTCTCTATATAGGAAGCATATAGAATAAATTCGGAAAGTGCTCTAAACTCAGGCTTAGATTAGGCAGCATTCAAGATGCAATGCTCATCGGAGGGAAGTAGTAGGGAAACCTGTACTCTGGCTCTGAAGAAGACTTCTGATTGGTCGAGAGACACAATGTGACCACGTCCACGTGACGTGACTACAACGTGACCACGTGACGTCACTTCCGGTTGACCACGTGGTGTCGGAAGTGATGTCACGTCACATGGGCGTAGTCACGTGGTGTCTCTCGACCAATCAGAAGCCTCCCTCAGGGCCAGAGTGCAGGTTTCCCTACTACCATAGATATATACAACACATCATATTGTTGTATATATATATATATATATAGTATTGTATATATCTATGCTACTACTGAGGGATGAAGGACTTATACACACTAGCTACTACCGGCTTCACCGCGTTACGTAATAGGCACAACTAGTATATCAAACATAGAGCGTCTGAAGCATCGTCGCAAAGCCTCTACAGATTGTAAAAAAAACACAACGGATTGATTTGATATTTGTACAGACAATTTATTTCCGTGACATCGTCTCTACACTTCACGCTAAACCTGCACGTAAACAGCCAACAAACACTAGTGATCAAGCTTGCTTAATATTTGTACGTACATCGTCTACGCGTGGTGGCGCAAGCAGCTCTCTTCTAGCAACACATCTGCGCGATCAACGCTTCCCTAAAACCTTGCTCCGGTAGTAATTATTCCGTTAAATACGTGGCAAGTAATAACCATTATTGTTATATAGGCGACACGTTGGTAACCCCATGGTGTTTTGTATACAGTATCCTATATACACGTACCTACATGCCTCGTATCACTACTGTCCCTTGGGTCAACTGCAGACGCGCGATTAGCACGTGATTAGCACGTGATTCACACCTCCAGCACCGCATGTACGAATCACGTGTACAGATCTCGGATTAGGGATATTTTAATACTTACATATGTCGGGCACGTACGTGTGGTAAAATAAAAAAAACACCTTCGATCTCTCTCATCGAGATGACGACGTTTTAACACATTCTTAAATCGAAGCCAGAGAGCGATATACAGCCGCTTCTGTAGCAGCAGCTCAACTGCAAGATTACGCACTACCATTCCCAAGCTAACATCCGCGCTCCGCATTAGCAGCTGCTCGGCGACGATTCGTGTATCGAGACGAAGCACAGCGACTCGCTGCGTCTGCCACGCGTGAACAACTCATCGTGTTCTCCTCCCGCAGACTCCTCCTGCACAGCAGCTCGCCGCTGACGGCAAGGAAATGCAAACGCGCAACCCTTACACGTCAGAACCGCCCTCCACTACCCCGGCCGCAAGGACGCTCGCTACCGCGTGAGGTCGCGTGCGCCGCAGAATACAGACGATGAGAGACCAGAGCGCATGACCGTCGACGCGACGATGCATAGCTCTCGTACGGGGGCGCCCTACGTTAGTTAGATTCACGATCTATGCACCTTGTACATAACTATAAAGCTTCTTTTTCCTAGATGCGTCGGGGGCAGCGGCGGCGGGTCTACACGCGAGCAAAGAGCGTGGTCACAATACAAAGCACCGGGGTGGGGGCTGGGAAGGGGGGCTTTACTCGAGAGAAGTGCGCGCAAGATACTGTAAGAGTAACGAGACACACGCACGTATGCACGTACGCACGCACGCACACACATAATACAGGCACTGTCTCTCCCCCCTACTTTTACGCATACACGCTAAATCATTACGATTTTAGAAAGAAAAACCGTGAGACAGCACTAAGAGGAGATGAGTTCCTCAGCAGAGAGCATCCGTTGGTGGTCGACGCTTGTCTCGTCGTCATGGGGACGCGCCACACGTTATTACTACGACCCTTAGTCCCTTACAGCACAGACACGCACACAGTTAACCTGACTTTCACGCGTAAGCACGCACACGCTTACGAGCTTCGTATTGCTGCTGGGCAGGCAATACACTGCACTCATTTGATAAAAGGTTCATTTCTACCATAGAATTGTGTAAAATAACAACGAGGTCATGCAATAGCTTTAATTATTTAAATCAAGACGGAGAATTGAGAACAACAGCAACACTATAAAGTAAGATACTTGCTCATACTAGGGCATTAGATCCAACAACAGCATCATCAATATCATATTTTAAAGTTGCACACGTGAAGATCTTTTCTCCTGCAGCAGTTCATTTGATGAAGACGTACAGCATTTTTACAATTCAATATATTTATCAACATATTTATATGTTGATAAATATATTGAATTGTAACAAGAGCCGCAGAGCGTCTGGGCTCATCTGAGGTCTGTTGCTACGGTTATAAACGTAAAATTTCTGTCGTGCGTAGTGACACATTTGTTAGGCGCAGATATGCAGACACGCAGTTGCGTACACATCATTGTTAGGACACGCCCACTATCCCCCAATGCCATTTTTGTTTATTTTATTAAATGATACTTGCCTTTCACTTCGAATTTGTGTCATAGATTCACAGCGTAATAGATGTTATTTCTTGTTATTTATTGTGTGTGCGCGCGTGCGCGCGTGCGTGCGAGCAAATTACGGAGTATAAAGAAGGTATATAAGCATGAAAAGTAAACAGAAACACTAATTGTATTTTCATACATTTTATTTTGTACAAAATTAATAACACACAAATATAGTACTTGCTGGTGCTAGAAATTCGTGACCTATAAAGTTTGGCGCAAATCCACTTTAGGCACCTAATGCTAGCCGCACGCGTCTATTTTTTCCGTACCGCAAATGCGTAAACGTCCTGCACGGCTTCCTCTGATTGGCTGCTTTGGTTTGCTTTGACGCAACAACCTTTCAAAACAAGAGAACAAACGCCCATTTGTAAATATTTGTTTTAGTTCATTATCAGTACATAAGTAAGTTTTCTGATGTATTTTCTATGAAAAACACACATTTTACTCATTAATATAAAATATAATATCACTATAATTACAATTCTATGTGTAACTGCGTTATTTTCATCTTAATCTCAAGTTATGAGGGGGTTTGGGCTCTCGTAATAACACTTAGTAGTCTTAGTACATACGTACGTACTCGTACTATAGTATAGAGTAGCCCTTCGCTCTGTCGCAGGAGTAAAGATAGATACAATCCTACCTAGATCACCTACCTACAGAATCAGACCTACCTATCAGAATCCTACCTAGGTCAATTCTGTTAGATACCCTGTATCTTAAAGAAAGTACATGAAAGCATTGGTTGTAAAATAACTTTATTACTTGGGAAGCATATGAAATAAACACCTTTCAGATGCCAAGATAAATAATACACCAATGTGCGGTATTGTTTGTTTGTTTTTTATCACCTTGTTCTAATTGACATGAATTATGGTGCAGATCTACTTCACATTTATTAGAGAACTGAAATATCAATTTGGTATGGACAGATTTTGCTGAAATAGTAATCCATGAATATGGAGAGAATATTGGAAGCTGTAATGAAATAATACGTTTTTGAAACACTCTGTACATGTACATTGGTCTACATTACATCAGTTGGATGAAATAATTTTGTATGAAAAGTATGCATATACACCACGCACGTACACGCAAGTACACGCACGTACACACAGATACACGCACGTACACGCGGGTACACGCACGTGCACGCGGGTACACGCACGTACACGCACGTACACGCACGTACACGCACGTACATGCGAGTACACGCACGTGCATGCGGGTACACGCACGTACACGCACGTACACGCGGGTACACGCACGTACATGCGAGTACACGCACGTGCATGCGGGTACACGCACGTACACGCACGTACACGCGGGTACACGCGTGCCGTGCTGTTAGACCTTGTAGAAACGTTATACGCATTTGCCCCGGTAACGCGAAAAAATAGACCTGTGAGCTTGTTCCCGAGTTACTTCTGCACTATTCCCCGATCCCGAGCGGTGCGATCACGATGAGTCGCAGCCTAATATTGGCTCGGGGAGTTTATTTTGCCTCGATTCGAATTTTGAATCGGGAGCCGGTATAGTTGCGAGGGCCTTACGACGCGGACCCTGGATAGTGTGCGTGTCCATCCGACTCGGATCGGCAAGCCGCTGTAGAGAAATGTTACAATCACAGAGCAGTCCCATTGGGAAACACCTGCGAATTCGGTAAACATGGCGGAATACACTTCACCGACCCTTGAGTACATCGTAAATCCGCTTGGAACGTGACGAGAGCTGCCATTTGTGTTGCCCAACTTTATGTCGGCAGTGTCGGCGGGCCTCTCCGATCGATCAGGAGCGGTGCCGTAAGTGTGCCGGGCGCTCCGGTTCTCTTTTCCCAGTCGACATATTCCAGATTCGAAGATTTAGCAGCCTTCTGATTGCGTTCTGATGGTTCATTACTGCCTCTGATTGGTTCAAAAACAGCGACGTGTTTGCTATTTAGCATATGATTATTGTTTCGTTTATATACTCCTGTGTGGCAGTGGTGGATTAGAGCACCGCGCGTTACTTTCTGAACAGGTCCGTCTGCGTTCGATACGGTTTGGTTTATTAATTTCTTTTTTTGTCTTGTATTTTCTACTCTTTATCCATATTAACTATTGTGTTTCTATATTAACGGAATATTTGCATGATTGATTTACAACAATTAAATATTTTATATGAAAATTTTTTGTTTTTAATAATTAATTTCATTTATTATGTTAATTAAATTAAATTAGGGTTTAGGGTAGGGTTAGGCGTTATGATTAGGTTAGGTTTATGGGTTGGGTAGGGTTAGGTAGGGTTAGGGTTATTTATTGCAAATAATTGCAATTCTTACGCTCATGTGGTGCCTACCGTAATTGGCGTTTGGTTCTCTTGTCAAAGGCAAAGCAATCGAAAGCACCATCAGAGGCGCTAAATCGCCTGTCGCGGATATGTCGCACTGGGAATAAAAAACTCGCTCGTGGGGGCACGTGCTGTGCACATGCAAAATTCACGATAGTTGTGCGGCT